TCTTTAACATGGCATTTTCAGAACAGCCTCTGGGTTGCGAGTAGGCATGGGTATCTTGCTTGCTTGACCGTCTGCCTCTTTCATTCAGTTCCCTGTCCTGAAGCTGAATACCTGTATAATAGATTTACTTGGATTGTTCTCTCCTGGTACAACATTAAGATATTGATCGTTCTCTCCTCCTCTCCTACTCTGACCTCCTAGGTCCTGTGCATGACTCAAGCTCATTCCCAGAACAGCTCCCTTTCATGTAGGTTACAGGAATATTGGAAACAGTAATTTGTTGCATCCAAAGCTTTTATTTTCTCAAAACATCCTGATGAGGAATCAATTCAACCCATATGCAGGTAGTTAAATCTCCCACTTTATTGCCACAAAATTTGCAGCTTCTCTAATCTCACTTAATGTTTTCTCATCACAAACATCATCTGATCCGAGAACTATTAATACAGTATAATACTATATTATTAGAAGGTATTTCCATTCAGAAGGTTTCACACAGTAGGCTTTTCCCCCACACACACAAGATTTTCATGCTCTTACACTTCATGCTACCTGTTATGCAAACTGCCAGTCCCCTACCTGTATGTCTAATCCAGCAATGTCTAATTCCAGCAAAGTTGGCAGCATATTAACATCACATACCTGTGATCATTCTCCTTTCATCAGGCTTCCAATACACCTATTATAAAGCAGTTGTCATTCAATAACAAGCAATTTTGGTTTTCATCTTATCTTTTAGGCTTAAGATAACATAAAAATACATATAAGGTTTGTTCCAGCTCTGCTGCTCACAATTTCACATACCAATTAACTTTATGTTATATATTTGGTTTAATGTTTTTAAAGAATTATAGTAGGTAAGAGATTTCTTTGACTCCATTGTGCCAAAAAGGCTATTCACAGATTTTCTTCACTGATCTGCAACCATGAGTACAATCCAAATAAATCTTAAATACTTCATATTTCTTATTGCTGCTTTCTCTTTCAAGTCTCTAATTACCCTTCATATCAATCCTACTTTTTGCCTTTAAATTAAAAAGTTATCAGAAAACCAAAGATCATTCATACAAACCATTCACATTCATCACCTTATTTTCAGAATTTCTCAATTATTTTGTCCTTTCTCCATATTTTTGGGGTTTTTTTATTCTCCCCCCAGCCAGGGAGAGAGCCATGGAGTGTACTTTACTTCCACACTGATGTCTTTAAGGCGGTGACTTCACTCCTTACTTTTATTCTTTCAGCTGCTGACACAAAGCTAATGATTTGAAGGTTCCAGAATCTTTTGTTTGTTTGTTTCTTGAGGCATCTCACAATAAACTCTCATGTTTTCTTGCAAATATTTTAAATATAGGTCACTGTGTGGATGGAATATTTCCAGATTCTGAACTAGTATCCTCCTCCACGTTCTCTGTGTAGCAGTAAATCTATATGGCTTTATATGACAAAGCAGTTGGTTTTCCATTTTGCCCCTGCCTACTTGTCATACATATAATCTCAGACTTCTTTAAGATTACAGATATATTCTGAGACAAGAGTAAATTCTGAGTCAATAAGTAAATTAGACTTTGTCTTCAGTAAGTTGCTACAAGAATACCATCAGCAATTGATGCTTTAATACTTCCCATTGTTCCAGCTCAAAGTTTTCATTTTTACAAAAAAAGATGCTTTCACAAAATGGTTCAATTTTTCAAAAGTGACAAAAACAGGTTTAAAACAAGTAAAAGAATGAAGAGAAAGTATCCTATACCACCCATAGCCCTTACATGGGCTCATCATTATCACTATCACCATCATTATTATTATTAAACAAGCTGCACGGTGAAAACATTTCCTCCAGTAAGTTACCGAGACTGTTGTCAGCCGGTCAAAGAAGTGATTATTTCCTTCTACTCTCCTTCTCTCTCTGGGACAAGTATGTGGAGTATTTTTTCAGTTTTGGGCTTCCCACTTCAAGAAAAATATAGATATGTTGGAACAAGTATGGTGAAAAATCACCAAGATGATTAGAGGGCTGAAATATAAGACGCAGACAGAAAGGCTGAGAGAACTTTCAAGTGTTGAGAAGGACAAAGGGCAAGGGAACTCCTACTGCTGTCTCAAACCACCTAACAGAAGGCTACAAGTAAGAGGGAACTGGATTCTTCTTGAACGTGCATAACGAACAAGAGGCAATAGACACAAGTGGCAAGAAGAGATATTCCAACAAGATATTATGAAAAAAATTTCACCACAACGGTGACAGACACAGGAACAGGTTGTCCATCCACACATCTCCACCTTTAGGGATATCTCAAACTCAGCTGGACAAAGCCCTAAGCGATTTGAACTAGGCTGACTCTCCTTTTACGAAGGTGATTGGACCAGATGACCTCCAGAGGTCCCTTCCAAACTAAAAAGTTCCATCATTCAAGAACGTGCCTCTGACATGTCTCCGGACATCTTCCACAAGAGCGATTTTTTTCCTCCATGTGTAGTCTTTGCTCCATCTTACTACTCATTATTTTTGGTACGCTGCTGGACCCTCTTTTACTTTTTTATTCTTGCAGTACTGTTACTTTCATACCTCCGTAACATCTTCAGTTGTTTCAATTGCTTCAATACCCATTCAGAATCAACATCATTTATAACTTGTATACAAACATCTGCTAAAGCTTCAAATCTATTCTATACTGTTCTGTATTCCTTTTTCTAGTAGAAATTCCTCAATAGGTTATTTACATACACATAAGACTTCCTCTTCTGGATCAACACTGAAATACTTTTGGCACATCAGCTGGCAAAATGCAGCAACTGAACATTTGAGTACTTCAATCTGATTTTACTTAATCAGAATGAAATTCACTTAAAACGTCATTGAACATTCTGGTCCCTGCTTTCCCAACTAGATACCTCTTCTTACACAATGACTTCAATGAAAAGAGCGCATAAGCAGACCCTTCAACAGAGTGGAAACCAGCTCATTCTTTCCATGCCATCATTTCACTACAGAATCAGTTTCAACTTCCCATCTTTCTGGTTTTAGAGACAAAGCTTTAGAAATACTCAAGGACTGCTCCCAAGTTAAGTTTAGTGAATAATTTACTGATTCTACTTTAGAAAGCAAGGTGTTAAATCTCGTCAAGACTGAGAAGTGAAGAAAACTGTACGTCTCCAATTTCTTTGGCAAGTTTTGTTATGATCGGTAAGTTATATCTAAGCTACAAGAAGCATCACCTCTCTCCATGGTCATGAGAACAAAAGCAGTTACATTGCTGTTCTTCGTAGTAGAATTCATGGTGTTAATAACAGATGCTGAGATGCCTGGTGCTGTCTACTTATGTGTTTAAGCATTCATACAAATTTCTGTAAACCACTCACTTGAACAAAGATGAAATGTAGTTCCATGTTGCCCTTTAGACACCTACTTGCTGTTCTAAATAAAATATTTAGTGTCTCCACTTCCTCTGAAAAATTAAGATGATGGCACTCTTCTATCACCCATGTGAGACAAGATATATTTCAAAACTTTAAAAAAAATAAAAATACATTAAGCAGTAAGCTCCACCTCTAAAAATAAAAAATTAAAATTTGTCCCTGCAGGCTATAGCCTTTTAATCGTTCCCCCTCACCCATTTGGTATAAAAGTATACTTCACTGATTTGTCAACTGTAGATCAAATAATTCTCTTCTATTAGGTTTTGTCAAAACAATGTATTCAGTCCATTCAGTTTAAATTTTGAAGAGATGTTAATCTTAACTCTAACATTCTCGCTGTCTGCGGAGATTCACAATCCTCTTCTGAGCCATTAACATGTTCACGTTTGGCCTGAACATCATCTTGTCTCCCAAATTTTACTGTACAATTACACATAGGAAACAGTATTTCCTCCAGTGGCTTTTAAACCTTCCAACCTATTAATTCAGGGAACATTCTCGGGAATTCTCCTAACATTATAAAGGCAGCACAATTATCTTTTAGACTTATTCTGAGTCTACGGTCTGTGAGGTTTTCTTGCCTTTTTACCTTTGTTCAACATTCTTAATATTAAGTATCAACAGTAATAAACTGCTAGAGCATAAAAGCCTGCTTTGACAAAAGCAGAATAAAATTCTTGGTTATGATAAAAAAAAAAATTGGATAATACACACCAAAGCATACAAAATAATGGAGAAACTGGAGAATACCATTCACTATCTTAAATAAAAATATCAAAGTGAAATTTGTAAAAAAACCTAAAAATATAATAATGCCTTTTGCATTTGAAAAGGAGTTAATCCTTGCACCCCTTTGGCTGCCCCAAAGTACTAAGTCTGATATCAATCAAGAGGGGAAGGGGGATGGGAGAGGGGGGTGGGTGGGGTGGGGTGTAAATGTGTCAAGAAGTAACAAAGTAATATAGGCATTTTACATATGGGGTAGAATACCTTAAACTACTAGTGAGTCAACCCCCCCAGAATGGGAGAAAAAGTTTAAAGCCAGGAATACTTTCAAATATCTTGCTCTTCCACAAGGCTTTCAAAGCTGAAGCAGCTAAGCAAAATATCAAAGGAGATCAGTGTTGCTACAGGTTTATCAGAAAGTAAAAAACTTCATTAAAAGTCCCTCCCCCACGTGGAACCAAAGCACATAAATTATCATATGCATTCTGAGGGTATACACATTATCTTCTAGACTCTAAATTAGGTCACAATATTTTATTAAGGTATTCTGACAAAAATTTATAACTATTTTTTCAAATGTGACTGAATAAGAGTCTGTATTACCTGTAAGCATTTCTTGGGGGTTTTTTTGGTAAGGTTTTCCTAATAGGTCACACATTCTTTGTCACCCTTTAAGTAAAATAGTTCAATGTTACTGCTTTAAGCAGTTTGGTATTTTCAAACTTTTTTCTTGACAAATTCCAGTTATAAAACAGAGCATTAATGTTATAACCTGTTTTTTTTTAATATAGTATTTAAGTCCCAAGAATTTTAAAGATATGTCTAAAAGCTGAAAATTAAAGCAATCAATTACTTACCCCTTTTTTGACAACAAAATGTAAGTTCCAATTTGCAAAGCATGTCAGCATTCTCATACTTGTCCTCTTCTGCCTTAACCCAAAAACAGGATTCCGTCATTTCCTGAGGCCTGATCTACAAGCAAAAGACAAAACAAAATTAAATTATTTTGATACTATGCAGAGACTGTGCTCTGTAGAGTCTAAAGCAAATGAAATACTTAAGACCTCAGCAAAACATGTGGACTTCTGGTATACAACTCATCTTTACAATTGTTAATATATTTCTGATTGAAGATAATAACGCTTACAGTAAGTGCTTTTGGACAAACTGATTCTAATAATACAAAGCAACGTAGACATCATACTTTGTTATCCAAGGTCTAAGTGTACCAAATTATCTTTGGTTTAGATTTAACACTTTGGTAAACTTTAAATAGTCTCTGAACACAGCTGGTTTAACTAGATATTAACTACCTTACTTTTTAGATTGTAGCTTTGATTACTTCATAAAACTCTGAAAATCTTTTTATTGACTTATTTTGGTCTAAATAATTTTAGTTTCCAAAACTCAGTATATTGACAGTCCTGGTATACTTGATCCTATCACAACAGAGAATTAAAAAAAACCAAAACAAACTCTGTATTTTTTCAGCCATTAAATTTACATAAGTACATTTACACTAAGGACAAATGGAGAGACCTACAATGACTCTTCCCAGAGTCCAAGCTAGATGGATGCAAGACACTTGTTTGGAAACTGTATAGCTATCAGTACAGTGCAGTGACTGGTCCAAGGTAAACAGTCTGCTAAAAGGCAAGGCATAGTACGACCCAGGAAGCATGCTGGTATCAAGGTTGTATCATTCTAAACCAGAACTGATTTTTCCAGGCATCTCAGAAAGTTAACAGATACTTGTCCAGATGATTAACAAGTCAATGAAGTGCTGTTTTCAGAAAACAATGAAAATGAAAGGCAGAAACTATTCATATCTTACATTATTTTAACTAATATATAAATTGCTTTGCGTAGTCTTGCTCCTGACAATCTATTTACCATAAGCTTTGTGTAAGATTTTACATCAAGTATTTGCTATTAATCAGTACTACCTTGGACCAGTTGAGTCTTTTCATGGTAACTTCGGGTCTGAATTCTTTTTTAGGCTTCATTCCAAATGGCAAAGTACATGAAGGTGGAGACCACTGTGCTCCAGGCAGACCTGGTAGAGGCGGTGGTGGAGGAGCACCACCAAGAGCCAGAGGAACTCTCAAGCCATGCAAAAGTGGTGGAGGAGGAGGTGGGGGTGGTGGTGGCGGAATTGCTCCGTTAGAAGGCAGTGGTGGAGGAGGCGGCGGCGGAAGTTGATGTGGTCCTGCAGCTTCCAGTGGAACGACAGATGCATCTCCACGTGTTAATGGCAGAAAACCAGGTGGCAAGGAGCCATACTGATAAGGAAAATATTCTTATTCAGTTTCACATTTTTTAATCAACAAAAGCCCATAACAATCATAATCTATAGATTAAATCCAGCAAACCAATTGAAAGTCACTGCCATTTTTCTTGTACAGGACAATCAAATATGAATTATAATGAGGCCAACAAGCTTTTGACTTCATAACTGGAAGTCATAGCATTTGAAGCGAACATTCAGACCAGGGAGCGCATGCCAAGAAATGACAAACTGAAATGCTATATCCCACTTGTTGTATTTAACTGATCATGATCTAAGAAGGGTGTGATAGGTATCTTGATGTAGTTTTATCTAGACCACCATGCTTTAGCTCAAATTAAAAAAATAACATCCTAGTCTCCAGTGTTCTTACTTATCATACAGATTACAGGGAAACATTCCAAGGACATAATAGCAGAATCCGAGATAGAGATTAGTAATTCTGTTGAAAAACAGGTATTTTTCCAATACAGGAGCATTTTCATTCTGCAGAATTGAAAGCACAGAGTAATGATGAAAAAAATTCCTTCCAAAAAAATACAGCTGCCTTACACTTTGACTTTTATTCTATATAGTAAGGGCATCTATAGTGTATGAAGATAGGCTCATTAGCACTTCAGTAAGTCTAAAGAAATATATTTATGTCTACTATTTGAAGAACTTCTATCATAGGCCTTCAAACTTTAATAACTAGATACCTGACAAAACCAACAAAAGAATAAATAAGAAATATTCATCTACTGGTGATAGTATTAATCAACTTTTCACTGATAATTATGAACTGAAACAGTCCATTTTATTTTTAAAAAAATTGAGAAATACAATAAGCAAAGGATTTAATATTTTTAAGATTAAATAGCTAAATATCAATAAACATAAATAAATACATGCACAACAGTATTATTGTTTTGAATTTCTGAACATACATATTGTTTACACTGACAAGTAGACATTGAAAAAATAAGGCTCTAATAAAGAAAGAAATACATTAACAAATAACAAATACAACAAAAGAGTAAACGAATGAGGCCAGGAGAAAAATAGTCATAACAGATGGAAGAAGCCATGCTAAGTAGCAACTGATGCCATATGGAAACCAAAGATTCCTCCTAAGACGGACTTAAGAGTACCAAGTTGCAGTAATCAATTACTTGATTATTTACAAAATATTCCAAGTATCCTATTAACAGTGGGATAATTCATGGTATGATAATTAGTGAGCATAATAATATGTTATATTCACTGTCTGCAGGTAAAAAAGTTAAATTTAAGACAGTAAACAAGAGAAAAAGTAAAATAGGGGAGAAAGTCTTTTACTCACAAAAAGTATTCAAGTATGTTTTCAAGATACACATATAAATACTTCCTTAATGATTTACAACTCTCGCTAAAATTATTTTTTTTATAATGCAACAGTTTTTGTGAATGCTTTTTTAAAGAAGTTAATTCTGACCAGAAACCTGAATTAGAATTACATTTTTAAGCAGACCAAAGCAGAGCCAAACTAATTTTCCTCAGAAATGAAATTAAAAAGGCTCAAAAGTATTAAAAAAACCTCTATGATCAAAACATATATATTATCACCTTCCTATATGCATGTCTCCCCAATGCTGTCTTTCTGTAGTCATTTTTAGACTGTGCTTCTTATTCCAGGAAATAAGACACAGGAAAAATCACTTAGTCACACAGTCTCCTTACACAGATTTTTAGAGCTGAAGCAGTTACAAGTTAACTCAAGTATTACTCTCAAAAATCTGCACTATTTCTCTCCATCACATTTCAAAATATCTATTTATGTTTGAAAATTGAAAAATTATCAGGAAATGTTCTTATCCAGCCACAGGTTATTTCTTTCACTGCTGGATATCTATGGTAAGATTTCAGTAAAGCAAACTGCATAATGAATCATTTCCTGTGGAGGGATAAAGATCACAGTGATGAATGCTAATCTAAAAGCATAAGACCTATTACCCTATGTGGTTAATTACTTTGGAAATATATGACACTGAAAGCAAAACCCAAATGAAACATAAGAAACTAGTTTAATTAACAGAGCTCAGGCACAAAAAAGATCATCTGGGAACTCAAACAGCTAATTAATGTCACACTACAATTCTTTGTATAAAACAGAATAAAGGAAACTAACAGTCAATAATAATCGATAACAAGAATTCTTTGGAAAAAAAAACCTCAACTGTACTATCATAATCTGCAAAAGATGCAAAATGAAGTCCTTTTCAAAAACAATATTTCATACATTCACTTAAACGGTCTTATACCTGTGATTTAAATGCTTGTAATTCTGCTTCAAGTTCATTGATTCTTTCTTCTTTTTTTTGCAGTAGGGCCTGGGTCTCCTGATGAACTACAAAATCTTTTTCAAACTAAGAAAAATGAGAAAGGAAAAAAAAAAAAAGAAAGTTGTTGCTACTAGTCAGTTCTGCACAGTTTCTTTAGTTTCCAAGTTTTCCCTTTGTGTTTGTTAAAACTCACATGTTAACAATACTAACGACACATACAACATATCTGCTATTCTAACTTCCACGCATCCACTGAGTGAAGTACCATCTCTATTACCACTACAAGTGTTTACTATATGAAATGGCATAAAGTACTTAATGTATTTTAAGTTGGAATTAGACAAAGTAGTTTAAAAAATTGATGTATGGTAATACAGAGTCCATAGATATAAATGAGTCAATTCTTATTCTCCCACTGATTATCTTGATGAAGAAACTGTTCAAATAAAGTATTCAGTTGATTTGGGGGAGATTTGTACATGAAACCTTAAAACAAATAGTAGAAAGACTATCAATTAAAATTAACTACTTTGCACCACTTTTCTCTGCTTTCTAGTCCACAAGAAAGATCGAAACATAGAACTAATAGTAATTTGAAGTTAAAAACTATACCAAGTTCAGTTACACCACTCATGAAGCTATTAAGTAATCCCCTGTGTCCATCTTATGACCACATAACTTAAAAATTACTTACTTTTCTGGAAAGTTCAGAAGCTCTCTCTTCACATTCTTCTAATCTTGCTTTATCTACACAAATATCTTGAAAAAATAAACAAACACACTTGCACATATACAGGGAACACACGGTTCTTATTCATATGTACAACTTTAACTTGCTTTTTGGAACATATAACAAAGTATGATACTGTAATAATTTCCAAACATAGTACTTACCTACTAAGTGGCTGAAATCTATATCTAATCTTTTACGATACGTGAAATCTGGGTCTGTTCCACTTCGATGTAACACTATCTGGGACACACACTCTTCAATTAATTTGAAATACTGTGGACTAAAGACAGAGATGAGTTTTTTTACAGCATATTTATTTATTAACATGTACTTAAAATCTTGTGTATGAACACAGTAAGGTCAAAAGATTTAGGCTGACATTTCCACAGAAAGGTAGGTGCAAACCCCAAAAGTCTCAAAGGACAAATACATCTAGCAGTTAATAAACACAAGAATAGTTTACACAAAGCATGAAAAGACAGTGGACCTAATGATAAACGATTCTTATAATATAAACTCTGCATCTCTCCCACTATGAAAACACAGGAAGGAAGCACTCCCTCCTGCTTCCTCCCAGTAGAGAGAAGGCTCTTCCTTCACCTTGATCCCTTCTGGTTTTGTGACTTTTGTAATGATGGATGTATTGCAGCCCTGCTTCAATAAGAGGAATGAAAACCACTTTGTTCTAAAATGCCGAGGGGTATGACAGAACATGCAAGCTGTGAATTCAAACCCTTCCAGGTGGAAGAGGTCTAGCGCAGGTGTACCAATGTCAAGTAAGCACTCTTAACCTTTACGGGTACATCTGTGATCGACCTTTCCTGAAATGCAAGTTTATACAGAATGCTATGCAGAAAACAGACAGCTTTCCTTCACTGTTCAGTTCATATCTGGTTCCTCCAGAGTTTCCTCAAAAACCACACAAGCAGATAGAGAAAGGAAAGTATCCAGCAGCTTCAAACATCTAAGATTTTATTAACTTTTTCTCTGTAATTTATCTGATGAATTTTCCAAGATACACTAACATGTTCACACTGACCTATAAAGTATATTGAGAGTACTCAATTTGCAACCAAAAGTTACTCTAAATTAAGCATATTTTCAGGTTTCTGTATAAATTGTGCTTCTGTGCATACTTGGTTTTGTTCTTTAACTCAAATACACCAAAAAATTACAATGCCACTACCATGGCATTAACTGATTAACTGATTAAGAGATCTGTCCTGATCACTTAGACTTGCAGTCAATAAGCTTCATATTCAACAAAAATTGTTTTCTATATTTATATGTAAAATTGTATCCTAAGTAGAAGAGTCAAAAACACATAGATGGCATTCTTATTCAAAGCTGATACTTTCAAACATGAGTTCACAAAGGAATACTTAGGAATGGGAATCGGCACAGAAAAGTATTAAACTGTATTTATCATTAAATTTATGGAAGAAGTATTTTATTAATGACTAAATGACAAGAAAATCCATAATTCACATTTAACACAGCATTAAACATACCGTATAAAATAATCATTTCTTATGAGCAAAAGATGTTGGAGAATAGAAAGAAAATATCCTTCTGCGCTAGTGTCCTTAACTGTATTCCACACCATGTTGTAAACATCATTTACGTCAGTAAAAGAGTTAAGGAGAGTAATAGCAAGGAAAAAAATATTTCAGTCAAATGTTGACTGATAACTTTTTTTGAACAGAAGTTATACCAGAAAAATGTCCATTATATACTTTATTTTGTTCATGTTTCTCTTGCTGATATCAAAAGGATATTCTAGTTCAGATCTAATATCTTCTAAACGATGAGAGAACTCAATCATGTCTTCTTCCTTATGTTCATTGAACACTTTCAGCTGAATATCTAGTGCTTCATTCTTTATACATTTCAATTGCTGCAAAGAAGAAACAGTAAAAATGCTTGCAAAACTGTAAATGTAAATACACCTTATCTTGTTAGTAACTTCCAAAAGTCTATGTTATTTTAAAGTTTAAAATTACAAAATGCATGAGTTAAGTTAAATATTCAAAAGGTAAACACGGCTTATGCCTGACTTAACAAGTCTGTGCACAGCTGTCTGTCATGTGTTCTAAATCGAAGTCCAAAACCGCTGAGGAATTAGCATGAAGTTCAGAAAGCACACATCACCTTTTCATTCTTATCTTAAAACTCATTCTCATATCTAACTGCTCATGCCCAGACTTAATAAAATGCCTTTTGAGAATAATTTATTAGAACTTGTTCTCCCATTCCCCCTCTCAAGCTCAAATAGTCCAATAATTTAAATAGTAATGCAAAGAGAGACTGCAAGACACTTACTGGCAATATCTCTTTCAATCCACTGCGCATAAATTCATTTCTGATGTGAAGCCTAAAATCCAAATCATCAGGAGATGTAACAAGAGCATTGATGAGCTGCATGCAAGCTACCTATAACAGAAGAAATATTAAACCATTAATACAATAGTTCATAATATAAACTATTTTATTTCTTAGATTTCAGTATGCATCACAGTCAAAAAGACATAATGAACTACTAATTAGACATTACGTCATGTCTTATTATCAATCTAGTGTAGTCTTATAACTAAGATACTTGAACTTCCTATAAACTTCCTATCAGAAGTCAAGCTTGATATTTACAAGGACATGTTCGGGAAGATCTGGACAACTACAGACTGGTAAGCTTGACTTTTCTACAGTTCAAATATATTGAAAGTATAACATAGAACAAAATTAATGAGTAACAAGAAAAAAAATGCAACATGAATAAAGGAACAGTATGAATAAATGCAACATGGCTTTACAAAGCAAGCTCCTGTTTCACAAACCAATGAAAGTTGTTTGAAAGGCTCAAAGAGCAGCAAGAAGACTGATTGGCCTGTCTGGACTTAAAAACAAAAAAAAAGTTTGTAAAATGTCAAAACCATTTAGCAAAATTTAGAAAACAGCATGTTAAGTTACCAAATTTCAAAATACTATAAAACAGTATTACATTTGATGTTTAGTGGTTTCTTTTTAGAAAAAGAACAAACACTTTTAGGGCTCAAAAATTATTTGGCTCCATTAAGGTCTGCTCAAGTAATGTTTCCCTGCTACTTTTTTCCTCACTGTAAGCCCATCTTTTTATTTTATGCTAGCAAAGTGTGTAATGTAAAAAATCAATAAAAACATCAAAAAGAATAAACCACATATAAGGCTAGAAACTGCAAGGCAATGAAAGCTTGTTCATGTCCTTTCTCCATATTCTTTACTGTGAGATCAATTACACCATCACCTAACTAGTAACAATAGAAAATCTACGCATATTAAAGAAGAATAGACCTATGGTGTGTTTTCTTTCAGAAAGGTAGTGGCACTACATTACTAGCAGTCAATTTTAAAAGAATTCAGTTAAATAGGAAAACAGGTAACAGGAGCACAACCTTGACCATTCTGTCTTAAATAAAATATGTTCCCTTGAGAAAGATCTTTCAGATTCGGGGCTTCTTTAAAGTTATAAATAAGAAACAATCCTCAGTTAATTCTTCTCTGAACAACGCGCTTGGAAAGCTGCTAAACTGATAATAATTTGGGACGTTTAGCATCATGGTGGATTATTCATCTTTGTAGTGTTTGTCAGAACTATTCTTAATGACACTTCTCCCTGAAATCTGTTATTTCCTTAATTTTATGCAATACGTTTCTATATATATGTCTACAGTATTTTAGGAACCCAAAGGAGAACATGACTTAGGTAACGTATCATTTATTTTCTTGAAATAAATACAATACAAATAAATACAAACAAAACCTTTGTATTACTCCTGAAGCCCGTTTCTGTGCATGCACTGTTTCTAACAGTTATTCTAATATTTGTTTGTTACTGCTGAAGCATCACTCTACACTAGGTAATAAAAAGTGGTGCTAACCCCCAAAAAGGAAACTACAAATACCAAAAGATAAATAAAAAGAAAATCCTTAGACCTACCTACATCCCAACCCCACATAATAACGAACATTTTAAAACCACCTCAGGTGCCCAATCAGCTTTTCAAAACTGGACTGAATAAAACCTTCCAGCAATTTTATTAACAGCACCCAACAGAGAAGACGTTAGGATTCTCCTGTTGCACAACCTAGTCTTTTCGGACACTGAAAAAGCTCCTCATATTCAATAATTGTCTGTCATGTCCTTTACAATCTTGTTCAGAACATGTGGCCTTGCAGCCCAGTTACTTTTGCTAGCAACAGGCTACCTTAACTAACACCACACACTTCCAGGCTCGTCAGGCTTTATTAAGACTTGGCTTGCCTGTTTGGAGCTCTGTTTTGGCTTATTTAGCTGCAACAGGATTTGTGTAGCAATAGAATGACTACCACCCCACTGGTTTTAGATTTTGCTTGGCCTTTTACAAGTTTGTGGCACAAAGTTTAATGTTACATACATTTCTATAACTAGCATATAGCAATATGACCCTAAAGAAAATGCAGCATAGAAAAGTAGAGGCATGGGATGTGAGCAGACACATGTGTTAGCACTACTGAGAGTAATTTGATTAGACCATTAAGATTTCATTTAGACTGAAAAGAAATTCTTGGCTTTACATATAAGGTGCATTCCTTAACCCCAAATTGCACAGGTTGCAGTGTCACAACATGATGGAGAATCTGATCAGCTTCATGTGCAATTTGGACGAAACAAATGGTAGAAAATGCAGGCAACAAAAACAGTTAACCTTTAGTGCAACAACACCTTACAGAATATAGCTCTTATTATTATCTCTTATTATCTAAGTATAGGCTATATTCTTTATTCTTAAACTTTTTTGTATTTGTTTTGGTATGGGTCCACTTTACCAAAAAATCCACTTTGTCAATATTTGTATTTTTCTTCAGCAGCCATGACGAAAAGTTTTATTTCCCCTAATTGTGAGCCTATATAGTTGAAACCTGTTATACCATCAC